GAGAGTTAACATATGACAAAACACGAAATATCCAGGAATTGACTAATAAAACAATGCCAGAAGTTGGCTCACAAGCTAACAGAGCTGCCATGAGCTGTCTGTGATCTTGCATTTACATTAAAAGCTTCAAGCACATGCACTCTGATAAATCACAAAACAGGACAGTTTCCTCTGCATTGGCTGTCCAAGCATGGCTTCAGAAAACCATGACTTGATTTCAAAGCTCAAAAGACTATGATAAGCAGTGAAAAGAGATTAACTTTATTCTCAGAAGTTAGAATTTTTCTTAGTGCATTTAAGTCTAACTACTCAATCTCATATTTAAGAAATTGCCCACCAGGTCAACTATTTAAACTCCCGAGAATGTGGCAGCTTGCATTTAGCTTTACTGGAGATGGTAAGAACTACATGTTCTGCAAAGGCAGGCTTTGGGTTTCCTCATGAGGGGCCCAGGAAGGTAAACATTTAAACAATGTTTTGATTGTGGGACCTTGGCCCTCAGCTTAGAGCATATCCTGCCAGACAAATGGGAGTGTTGGCATTTTTTCCAACCCCAAAAAAGTCTTCCATACTTGAAGAATTAGAAGTTCAGAAAATAGGAATAGTTCTTTGGTCCAAAGGCAAAGACTTCTCTGATTTGAGAGCTCACATTGATGTATCCCCCTATAAGGGAGAGGTATTTTATAACTATGGCCAAAGTAGCACACAAATGAAAATAACATCATGTAGATAACTTTGTTTTATAAGATTACTCTAGAATTTCAGAGCTAAAATTAGTAGAAACAGTTCAAAGCAGTTATGCTGAGAAAGAAGCAAACCTCTTTCACACAAATCCTACAGTGGTAGAATACCAATTTTTTGAAGGAGAAAAGAGTAAACAAAGTAAATCACCCAATTTGATTGGTTTCTTAGCATAATAAAGTGCTGAAGCAGCACAGTGGAGGATTTGCTGGACAATTTTCTACACTGAAACTGTCAATTCATTCTGAAGCTTAGTGCTGATGGATATTATGGATTGGTATGGATTGCACTGCTCCAACCATCTGAAAGGTCACTCGACAAACACAGCAGGAGTGACCTATTGTTCTTGCCATTGACAATCAGACTGCCGTTTTGACAAGTCTTTAAACTATCACAAATCTTTTCTTCAAGTATTACATGGAAATGTTTATCTTTGCTTTGTGGCACAATTAAAAGCTGGGATCTTAGGAGTTCACTGAAGCAGTCTTAATATCTCCTTGGGTCACACTTGCAAAGCCATGGAAGCCTGAGAATCTAATAGTGAATGGATCACCCCTGACATCTGTCAACTATACAACCGAGTATAATCTTTTCAGTTCCATTTTCAGATCAGAAGGTGAAAAGAACTCAAGCTATTATCCCCAGTGTACAAATATGTTGGACTACTTCCCTTTCTCACCAAAAGACCACTGTTTCAGCTGTAAAAATGAAGCTTTGCTGTTCCAAAAAATCGTGGCCAATAAAAATTGATGGATTGAAACTATGACCTATTGCTTTATGGAGGAAGAAGAAAAACATACAAAGATAGTAGTATTGGAAAATAAATAAGTACCTCTTATTATATTTTGGCATTTCATTTTGTGTGCAGAAGTTAAAAGTGGATTAAAAACCCCCACCTAAATAATAATTTTAGGTTTATAATCTCAAATGTGCTAATTGCTGGAAGAAAGATACTTCAAATATGAATTTGACTAACACTCAGGCTATTAGAAAGATATTACTCCATGTCTACCTTTAGCTCCAGCTTCCTCTCTATTTAAAATAGAAAACTTTAAAAAAGCATAAAGATTTAAACACAAAATATCAAAGATCAGTTGTTAAATCAATTTCCTGAGTACTCACAGACTACAATCACCTCTCAAACAGGAGTGTTTTTAGACTGACATAGATTAAAGATCTTGCTCGGAATAATTCCAGCCCCTTTACTTCGCTGTATGAATATAACATGCATGTACAGTTATATATAAATGTGTAGCATGCACCAAACCCATTTATTAATACTGTTTATTTACTGCAAACAGCCAGTAAGATTTTTGGTACAAAAACTTAACAATATAGGAAGCTAACTAAAGAAATGTTCCTTAAACGGACATTAAAATTTCTCTTCTGTGTAGTGATAGTTAACAAACATCCCTTTCTCTATCCTCTCTCCCCCAAGAAAAAACACAATTACAGCAACATTCATGAAAACAAGTCTTTACTGAAACTCTCAACTACACTGATCCAATTGCTCTCTAAGGCCACTTTATGTACTAAAGAAATGGTTGTGGGAAGCACTAGTACGTAACAGATCCCTCAGCTGCTGCAGAAACTATTTCACTGTCCCTGCAGAGTGGACTAGTCCATTTTTAGGATGTGGAATTCCCTGAACAAGTTTTGTTATTCTTACAAAATTCCAAAATATATAAATTTTGTTTTGCAAAATATGGGGTTTTCATTTTACTCTTACATTTCAGATAGACCAATTCAAAACAAAGAAGTTTAACAACAATAACAACAAAAATTAAACCAATATATTTTGCAGCTGAAATGCTGAAGAAGGTCAAATCACTGAAGAGTTATAAGTCACTGGCTAAGAACCCTGAACCAAAATCTCTTTGCTGCAGATCAAATGCAACATAATCCGGGTACAAAAGGAATTTTTATTTAGTTCAACTCAATCAGTTAATTCTCTTTAACAATTAACTTATTCTGGATTAGGAACTGAAAAAAAAACCATGAAAGCTTATTCTCTTTTTCTCTACGGTGACTTTGGAGAAGATGACATCTAGTTGTACTCAAAGCGGTAAGAATGTAGCGAGGAGTTATCAGTTAAGTGCTCTATGCTTTGTGTAATGAGCTGGTTACCATTAAAAACTAAAATTGTTTTGATAACAATCAGCAAGTTTCATTGAAGAATAGTAGACACAGTTCAGGTAAAACCCATCAGCAGAGGACTAGCTCAGAAGAAAATCAGGTAACATGACACTGAAGAAACTACATGCTGTGAAGACTGAACGTCAGAACATCTCCCATTACATAGAGCTGTGAAAGTTCTAAGCTTTTAGAGAATTTATGAGCCAAATAAGTCTGGATGGTCAAGGGACATGGTGTCATTAAGATACTGTTGGATATAAAGCTGCCTTCCAGACTGATGTGAGTTAAAAGGCTTGGGGAAGCAGCACTGAGCTGGGGAAAAACTGGGTTCTGCTGCTTCATGTAGCATTCATAGGCAGGAATCAAGAGGTGTGGTTAAACTAGGGTATACCATCAATTTCTGGTAGACTGGTTTCAAAAACACAGAAGGAGACTCCTGAGTGCCCCCTTGACAAAAAGCAAACAGAGATGTAACCTACCTGAAGGACTCAGGTATGACCTAGACAAAAAAATGGAAGAATCCTCTGTAATAACTAGCTTTCTCCTGGAGCAGGTTCTTGAGAATGGTGAGCCTGATACAGGAACCATTCAATGAAAATGAACATTACAAGAAAACAACTGAAAAGTGTAATTGCAAAACCAGTTTAAAACTGATTAATTAAATCCAAAGCACTTGGTCATTAAATAATGATTAACAGTGGTTACTGACACACACACATGTTAACAGAAGTATGAAAACCTCAAATCATTTGGGACTTTCCTTAAAGCAAGTACTCCAAAAGTCCCGAAAGGTCTTTTCTAAAGTCTAGAGCTGGGTTTCTTTAGAAAGTGAATAAAATTTAACATTAAAATGGTAAAAATAAAACTCGGCATGAGACAAGATAGCAATGCAAGGATCTGTTAACATAACTCTCATCCCCACTATGTCCTCATAAGGTGAGCCCTTTCCTTCAGCATCTCTCATTCCACTAAGTAACTTATTTTCTGCAGGGTAACCTCTGAGTTCTTATGAAATATATTCCTTCCATTATCTCTGAGGAGTGGGTGTTTGTTCCCTACTTTTTGAGAAGTCTCTCTCTCTCTCTCTCTCTCTCTCTCTCTCTGATTGCAGGCTGCCGAGCCTCAGCTTTCACTTTCCTCTCTTCTGCCTGTCCCTCCATGCACCATATAAAATGTCTTGCTCCCAAATGGCATCCTTTCTCTTTGTGATCCCATCTTTCTCAAGCCCCTGGGAGAAGGTGAACAAGAAGATGCCCTCTGATACCCAGCCACATGCATTTCAAAGAAACTCTGTGGTAAAAGCAAGAATCCTCCACAGTCCTATTGCCTTCAATCCCATCAATAAGTTTGAGACAGTCAAAAGAATTCTACAGAATTTTCAGTCTCAGTTTCTCTGTAATGCTCTGCAGAGGTTTGTAAGCCCAACCTAGAAATTCCTAATTTCTCACAGAAGATAAGTCGGGATTGCTAACCAAATATAACATTGTCCTCACAGCGGAGGAAAGGATGTAAAAGTGCCCACGTGGTTCTAAACCTCCAAATGTTCCTATAATAAACTGTGTATCACCAGGGGAAAAAAGCTGTCCTTTAAAAGTATAGTATTAAATGTCAAATTCATTAGTGACATGACCTGAAATCATTAGGTCTTTCTTTCTAAACTAGCTGCATATGTGATGTTTGGATTCCTATATGCGTTATTTTCAGATCAAAATGAAACTACTGAGAAAATATTGTGCTTTATTATTGTGTGTCATTTTTTGAAAGAATGACTCAGGCATTGATATTTAGGCTACTTTCAAGTCAAATATTTAAAGCCCACATCCTAACCATAAGCACACTTACTGACATATCGGAAGGTCACTGGAACATGAGAAGATAGAGAGAGGTCTAAGCAAAAGACCTACAAAGTAAATATCTTCTGCATTGGAGGAAAGGCAACTGTAAGAAAATGGAACTGTTTTCTTGTATTTTCATCAAAGTACTGAACGGGTTCCAAACAGTTTCAGATGTATTAAAAATCAGGCCTGTGGCATTTTCCTCTTGTACATTCATATTTCATTAGGTGCAATGACTTTATCTTTTCTCCAGTTAAAAATGCCATTCAAATTGGCTGCTGTACTTACTCTTTCACTGTCACAATATAACCATATTCTTTCTCCTCAGAAGACTTCACTTCAAGTTGTAAGCCTTGGCCCATATTTTTCTGAGGCTCTTCATAGGAGTTTCCATCCTGCATTAAAGTGTTCTTAATCCAGTAGCGGGTCTCACTCGGGTCTTTGGAGTCAGATTCACTGTTCTTTGCAGCTGTCAGTTCCCTAGAGAAAGTCTCACTTTTTACATTTTCCACATCAGCATTTATTTCTTCTGAGGATGAAGAGTCAGTGTTTTCAGATTTCTTGGTTTCTGTCTTAGTAGATTCTTCAGGTATAAGGTATTTAGACATATTTTCAGGTAATACATTCTCATTCAAGAAGTTAACTAGTTTTGCAGGGTTCTCCTGTATTAAAAAAATGTTATTATTATTTTTAAAACTAAACACAGGAATGTTATACTGAACCAAACCTGGATATAATCTTTCAAACTCTTATTGATATGGTAGAGTCTACTCATAAAAATGTTGCATGATCATTTTCTTAATTTCTATATGCTACCAGATGATGTAAGAACATAATGTTTATTCAGTAATAATAAAAGAGCATTAAATTATGCCACTGTATTTTTCAATAATTTTAATAAGGGCAAAAAAATGCTATAGTTAACAATTACTTCTTCAAATATCACAGAATCTAGATAGCCTTTTCTCTGTATTTTGATAGTGTTCATTTTCATGTGTCTGTGTGTTTAAGTATTGATGAGAATAAAACTTTCTTATCAAATAAGTTAATGAAAAGGAGAAATAATAGAAATATCCACCAATATGCCTAAGTGTTGGGACTGGAAACATGCATACGTCTTGGGTCTCACAAGTCATAACACAGGAAAGGGAACAGATATTATGTGATGAGTTATATTTCACTTATTCACTTCTAGAAATTGTGACAAACTGTGAGTGATCCACTAAGCTAAATATACGATCACAGAAAAAAATCTGTCTAATAAATCAAAATAATAAGCAAATGAGCAAAAGTCAAACCACAAGCCCGGAACAATTCATTAGCTACTTTCATTATATAAGTTTATTGCAGCCAAGCATTTGGGAAGAAATGATAGCTAACATGCACTTTGTGCTCTGTGTCACATTATATTCTTTTCTATCATATCCCCTATTCAAACTGTCACTAAGAGATCTATACATGGGATCCTCTGTAAGTCTATTGTGAATGCAGTGCTTCATTCCTTGAAGAATTTCATGTGGGTGGTTAAAGCTCCTGCCACATTGTCCACTTGTGTGATTTCCTTGCTTGGTAGAAGGGCAGCTACTAAAGAGATTTTACCGTGAACACAAGAGAGTCTGCCAGTTTATGAGTCTTGCAGTGTTAGCTTTTGATAGAGTATATAGTAGGAGAAGTTTCACAGCAGTTTTTAAAAATATTTCTTTCAGATCTTTCTGCGCCATGCAACCCAGAAAAAGAAAGATGAATATACCTCAAAAATGGCTGAATATTGGACATAAGTCTATAGGAAATGATTCAAAGCTCATGAGGACTATTGTAAAAGTAATCTGGACTAAAATCCCAAATTTGATGTTACCACCTAGGGTACAAGATGTAATGCCTAGAGCTTTTGAAATATCTCTGATATTCAGCAATGTGGAAGAATTAATGGTAAAGTGAAAAAGTGAAGAATGACGGATCCCATGAAAGGAGAGGGAATTTTGAACCCTCCCACAAACATGTGCCCTCAGAGGGAATATGTGTACTCATCTGTTTCTGAAAACCAGAGAGATTATCTGAACAAGAACGCTTACGTTCCCCAGAACTAAGAGCCAAAGAACAGGTGAAAGAAAGGTGTTTTCAAGAACACCTCGATACTCAAAATTTACTAACCTGAGGAAAAGCCTGAATTTGCCTGAACTTTGGGATCTGTTATGAATTCTATCTACTTACGAATGAAAGAAAGGCAAAACAGAACTTGATTTTGGCTTTTTGAACTGCCAAACTTATTTTGGTTAAGGTTTAAATAAATGTTCATTTAACATTTCAATGCATTAGCAAAAACATGCCTATGCTGTGATATTGAATTATAACCATACAAGACACAAAACAAGTCTTATGTTTCAGAAGTGTGTTTTTGACCTTCACTGCATATAAACCTGACATTCTGAGATGGAATACTTGTTTTATTAAAATACTGGTACTCTACCTCTTTATCAGTTCTCGCACTGGCTTCATGCACTCCATTGTCTGTGGGATATAAGAAGCACAAATACATAATTATGAAGGGAAAACATCATATATGAAACAAACACTGCTTATAGGCTGCTTTGTAGTGGTGGCCTTTTTATGCAATTTAAACATTAAGACATCAAAGCTGAAAGGGCAGAGTAAAGAGCACTGTATAATTCAGTATTGTTATTCTAACCCCACTTCGATAGCAAATTAATGCAAGATCAATAGACAGAGTACTTCAAGAGCCAATGTAATGGTGTTATTTGGCTAATTAAGTGTCCAATCTTCATATCAGTTTATCAATATCTAAGAAAAAAAACCCAATAAAATGGCTCTAGCTAGCTGAATGGAAATTTACTTTAAAGGATAAGGAAACATACACATCCCTCATACATATTTTGGTGGAAGAAGATTACTTATTTCAATAGAGATCATCTACCAAAAACCATGTTACAGCTTAACTACAGTGATGATATGCAGTCACATCATTAACCTCAGTCAAATAATGCTGGCTTTTTGGTTTATGATCTGAGTCTTATTCACCTCTCCCAGCATGATTCAGGACAAACCCTCAGGGCTGCTCATTTTAATCTACAAAAAGAACTGGCAATTAAAATAACCAGAATACCCCTAACTAGTAAAAATTTCAGTACCTCACCATGAAAAATGAAAGTAAGTTAAAATCACCATTTATCACTTACAGCATATGTTTTTGGTGTCCTAGATATAACACTCCTAAAATAGAGAATGGGTAAGCAGTAACTTCCATCCCACTGTGGTATCAACTCATTTATGGCAATTACTATAGCTCCTGAACCTGCATCACCAGGAAAATATGTGTCCAGACAGAAGCAAATAACAATAACGACTCTTTTATTTCCCTAAGCAGGAAAGGCAATGAGTAGTTTTCTACCTGTACCTATCTAAGACTTTCTTCTACAAGTAATTGTGGTACATTAAAGAACAATTATCTGTAAGACCATTTTTTCCCCACATATTTTGAAATACATTCTTGGAATATAATCATTTTTCATTATCATTTTGCTTAAACATCCAGTTTTCAAGAAAGAGAAATTAGACCACACAGCATAAAGTAATTTGTATTTCAATATAATTGGGTGTGTAGGTTTATCTTGTTTGTGAAGCTTGAAGACCAAGGATTCACAAAAAGATGCATTTTCAATAAAGTGTCTGCTGTAAAAAGAAAACAGCAAAGCTAAAATTGTGCAGCCTTCAGGGAAAAATAAAGAAACTTTCCCTCTTGTCCTCTTTAAAACTTATTAAAAAGAGTCTAGCAGTATTGTGAAACAATAAAGGAAAATTAGGGTAGCTATCTTTTGCTGTATGTAACTCCTAGAATTAATACCTGGTATGTTAACACTAGTTTCCATTAATCCAGTGTGAATCTCTGCCCTTCCTTGAGCACCTCCTTTTTTCATTTGTGCTTCTGTTTTGTCTTTGTTTTTTCCAGCACCCTCCTCCATTTCTTCCTGAATGCCAACTGTTTGAATTGCATTGGCAATAGTATCAGCGATCTCATCCAGTTCTGTTGAGCTCAGATTCTCCACATTCACCTGGTGTTTCTCTAGGTCCTTCAATACATCCTTAATAAGTGTCTCTGGATCACAAAACAACAGACGCACAGGATTTAGCTGCATACATGAAGCACATGTGCTTGTATCACTAAGTATCTTTCACATTTCCTAAAAGATAGCTTTTCCTTCATGGAGAGCATCTGTTTTCCAAAAGAGTGCATACACATTCATGCTGCCATCTTTACAGAAAACACAGTATTATAAATGGATGTTGGAGTTTATGACAAGGAGAATCCGTGCCAGCGACTGGGGGATAGATGCCACTACAACCCAGCAAGTTGTCCTAGAGTGAGGGGTATAAAATTGTCACTTTTTCTTTACAAGAGCATGGTTTCGTAGTCTAAATCAACTCAAAATACTGAAGACAAGTGTTAAGGTAGCTTAACTTTTTTTAGCTGCAGTAAGATAGCGCAAACAACACTACTGTTGATTAGAGATCAGGTTTCTTTGGTGATTTGCTTTTTGCAAGGTAAATAGCTATATAGAGTTCGGGGCGGGGGGTTGGGGGAACGATATTTTCTCTTTCAATAAAAAAACTCCTCTTCAATTAGAAGTGGATATGGATATATGTCTATTACGTATATGGATATGTAATGGACAAACCTTCTAAATGGTATTGATTTCTCTTGGAAAATATATATTTTGTCAAAAATGAACTTTACTATTTTGTCAGCTATGAATGTTTTATCAGTCATATTGAGGAAAGAAATGTTAAGATGGCATTGCAGGCCAGGGAAAGCAAATGGACTTATGTTTAGTGGGGGAAAAAAAAAAAAAACAACAAACAAAACAACCTTGATGTGACAAAAGTTTTGAAGATGAGGAAATTCAAGGACAATGAATATTAAAGGTGAGTTAGAAGATGTAGCATAACAGCTCTTCAGGGAAGGTACTTTTCTGACTGCATATATCCTTCAGTACCATTCTGTATAACTGCAAAACTCAGCCTAATGTCCCTTGGGGTATGAGACGCTAAACGTAGGGCTTACTCTAGCATACCAAAACCATTTTCAATCATGCCTCTGTTCTGCTTATTCATGCTGATCAGGAATTTAGCATACATATGCATATGCATGCAAGCAAGAAAACTCTTTCACATAAGTAGTATTGTGTAAGTAGAGGAAGATATGGACTGCTTTTAAATCTCTGTTGAATCTATGAATTTATATATAAGCAGTTTGAAGGCAACATCCAACCTTTTTTCTTATAGTAACATTCTCCTTGTTAAGCCCTGTGGTTGGACATGTTCATCACTGTCTGTAAACAAGATTTTGGGACCATGCTGTCAGCTTTCAGGCTTACACAAAGGTGAATTAAAAAAGTAGGTGTGCAAAGGGGTAACACTACTAGAAAAAGAACTAAAGAGGAGGTTTTTTCTTCTCACAGCAAAGGAGGAAGAAGTAGTTAGAGACCAGGAAAGAAGAAATAGTTAGAGACTCTTCTGCTCCAGGGAAGAGGCAGCAGATCATATGTGATTTTGCAGGGGGACAAGAATCAAGGATTATTTTTCATTGAGAAAAAAAGCCAAGACCTTGGACACGTCTGTCATTTTTTGGACCCTACAGTGTTAGCTGAAGAGGTTAGAGCCTGCAGCTGACCATCAGTTTCTCAATGCCATCTCAAGGCAGGGATTAATTTCCTCTCACCTGCCCCATAATTCACCAACTAAACTAATGCTGTTTTCCCTAATTAGTCAATATAAACCAAGATAACTTAAGCAGTTTAAATAGTAGGTTTACTGTGAGTCAAAGAGGGTTTTGACACATGGGGAAGATGGTTCTTTGATGTACTTTCTTTTCCAGGTTGAAAGGATATATCTTTCCAATAGTCCACCATGATGATATGACAAAATTCTACTGATTTCATTATAAAATTCAGCTGAGGTTGTATGCTGTGAACTTCTGAAATTTCCTTACAAAAGCATAGTTTTAAACACACTTGAGTGCAACTATCATTAAAAAAGATTAAATCTATGATGCTGCTTCAAACTGTGGCAGCCAACAAAGATTATGGTACCATACTGAAATAGCAGAGTGCTTTGTACAGGAAAGCAAGTGTTCAGTAATGAGAGTCAAAGACTTAATCTCATGACCTATGCCAAACATTCTGGGCCAAGATATTTGGAGGTAGCAAAATTAGGACTGAAGTTTGATGGAAGCTCAGTAACATTTCACAGAAATCATTGAATACTTTCCTTCCCACATTTCATTGTATTGTATTCATCCCCTATTGTGAATTTAATAATATAGTAAAAACATAATGACCAAATGCTTTTGTTTGGGAAGGTAATCTACAAGAGCAAATTGATCCAAACTGCAATAAGAGTTTTCACTAGAGTTGATCAAACTGAGCTCAAGAAACTTTTTCAAGAAGCACAACAGCTACCTGGAAGATGGCCATTAGAAGTTGTTACACATAGCAGCAATGCAGGAAATTAAGCTGTAGGAAATACCCGCGCTGCCAGATTACTGCAAAAGCCTTGTGTCTGCTTAGGTATCGTTTCTGTTCTTATGTTTTATAGAACTATTGGACAATAGCCTGACAGAAAAACATAAATTATTGAAGCAGAGCTAATAAAGTCAGCAAAAAAAGGCCAGAATACATGTCAGTTCCAAATCAAAACTAAAACTTTTCAACTAAATGTATAAAGACACATTGCAAGGCACATCACAGTAAGAAAAAGTGTTCTTGAAACACTGTTTGATTACCTGACATCAGTGCATCTACAAAACAATGAAAACTGTGATGACTTCAGTGACTCTCTTTTTCAAGAATTTTTGCCATTTATCCATTGATATGAATAACCCATGACATGCAGCAGCTAACAATCTACAAATGAGATTTTGAAGGTTTTTGCAATCGTGGAATAATATTTACAAGTAATAATTTTTAGTGCAGATCAAGAATCCACCTCTGTATTTCTAAACCCCTTGTAAATGTAGAATGGTCTTAGAAAACACCTTTGCCAAGAATGAACGGTTTTTAAGTCACACAAACATAATTTATTAACATTCAATTTTAGGCAAAAGAAGAGAGAACGTGCCCAAAATGGCTAGCTGAATAGAGCCTTGAACATGAGTTTCCCAGTATCCAGATGAGTTTCCTAACTATTAAATGATACTGACTGCTTTAGGGTCACTCGCTCACTTTCCTACAATATTTTTGAAGCATTTTTAATTTGTTCAACTTCAGAACAGAAAACACATTTCTTTTCCCTTGACTGAGAACTGCTGCTTTCTATCCATAAAACATTAAGAAGAATGTCATTCAGTTACTGTGCTCTTCAAGCTATTAGGAAACATCTTACCAAGAAGTTGGATTCATGAAAAAAATTCAAAACCATTTACATGCCTAATAGCACTATTTTTTTCAAAATTTAGACTCTCAGATTCTCAAGTTTATTCAGTGCTAATGTTACTTAGAGTCCTGAAAGTTTACCTATTTTCTGAATACGGGACCAAGATTCTTAAAATACTTCAAAAGAGTGGTTAGTAATACTATGAAGTTTTTAGCAAAATCATAGGGAGGGGTTTCAAGCAAATTCCAGCAAATGGAACAGCATAAAAGCAATTGCATCATTGAGCAAAAGTTGTAGAAACAATGCTCATTCATTCACAATAAAAAAGCTAGTTCAAATTACAGGAATTCAGCATCAGATTCAAGTCAAAAGTCTCTCAAAATTCTGAAATGAAAAATCAGCAACCTGAGGTTTCCAAGCTGAAAGCAAGTTTTGAGCCTCAGATAAATAATTTGCATCTGCATTTGCCTGTTAAATTTTATTTAAGTTAGTCCCTGGCCATTACATCAATATTTGAAGACAAATCTTAGAAAAAGAATTATATTTCAGGACATATATAATTAAAAGAGCTATATTAATGTAGCACTACTAGATTTTTATTTATTTCAGGTTGTTTCTCGGCTAGTTGTCAAGACCAAGTACTGAGCTACTCAACAACATACAATCAATACAGCCTTGTCATTTCCATTCCTTTTAATTTTTTTCCGAACTGACTTTTCTTAGCCAAGTCTTTTCTCTCCAGTCCACTTCCACAGGTTCATAGTCAATAACAAAGCAGTCTCAATCTCAAACAAAATGGAAATGGGGGAATGGGGCAGGGAACCACATGAGAAAATGAGTGGTCACAAGCCCTGCTCCAGATAACACTAACAGGTTTACTGCAGGTCCTCCTGGCTCATTAAATAAATCCGTTACAGAGGAGCCTCCTGCTCCTCTGACGCTGCTATTCCTGCCCTGGTCAATGCCACCTGGACACAGCTCATCAAACGAACTCCTAAATACAGACTTTTGTCAACATGAGTAAAACTTAGGCATTATATGCTACCTTTACTGAACAACTACAAGTGTGATTTAAAATGTCAAGGACCAAAAGCAATAACCAAAGCTAGCAAGTATGAGGAGCATCGTGTGTTCAGCATAGCAGCAGGAACAGTCATTGAAATGTCTATAACAGCCTGGTGAAGTGGAGGTCTACATAAAGAGTCTTGCTAACTTCATGAGGTTACTGATATGATGTTAATAAACTTCCATGCTAAATACGGATGTTTCCACTTCTTATTATGGCACTTGTCCATGTTTGTATAACATTTGCATATTATTGGATAAGGCTGATACGCAAATAAATATCAGTGCATTTATTTACAAACACCTTTGGGTAATTTAAAGAAATTATTATGAATTTATTAAAATCAGAAAATATTGTTGGAGAAAGACCAAAAAGCAGATGGATACTGCAATGGCATATCACTTAAGCAGCACATGTACTCGAACATGCATGTACCTGTGCACAGCCTTCGTACTCTCCCACTGACCCCTTCTAAATAGAATTGGCAATGCTCAGCCATGTTTCACAGGGCTTGTACTGCAAACCAGATTTCTCCCTTAGCTCCAGCTTCCGAACTGAAGAAGGCAAGTTGCCTTTCATAGTTGCCTTGCAACCACGATGACAGTAAAGGCACGTATATCTTAGATGATGTAATTTTTAATACCAGTTTCACCAGTAGAATTCCTCTAGTAGGTAACAATAGCAGCTTAGCAAGGGAAAACAGCTTTTTATTGTACAGCATGTAAATCATGCTCCATACTCCGTTGACGCAACTGCCAAAGCCAGCTTGCCTGACAGCTCAATGGTATGGCAGCAGTAACTTTGCTAGCAGTCCCACAGGGTGCTCTGTCTTCTACCCCATCACCCTACCGACCACATATTAGCTATCCTCAGCAGCTGAGCACCATATGGATTGGTGACTACAGCTTTGCAAGACAGAGGACATATAAAAATATCTTTGCTCTATAAACATGGAAGTTTTTAATTTTTTAAAAAGAGACATCTGAATTACTAATTTTGCAACCTTTCCAAAGCAACAGAGAGATGTATTCTGTAATATTTAATACATAAAAAATGAGTAGACTAGAACAAATCACTTAAAACTGAGGCAAATTCTAAATATGGCTGGTGCAGAAGACGGATTAACGATTCCACTATTGCACAGTGACTACAAAGGCAGTACCCATGCGCATCATGCTACCTCTAGAGGTAATAGTTTCCAAATCTGATAGAAAAATAGCTCCACATTTCCTTCTCTGGTATTTCTCCCTCAGGGTGCCTTGTTAGCTAATTTACCTGCCACTGTTTTGCAGCAATTCTCAGTGCTAATCTGCTCAGTACATTCTGGATTGTTATCCCATTCAAGTTCCTTTGTCTAATCCTGTATCAGATACAGCAGAGAACTGAGCTCATGTGACTGCACCCCATGCTTTCCAGTTTTTGAACAGTTCTGTGGTTTAGAGAGTGCGAGAGAGAAACAACCTGCAAGTGTACAAAAATCCTGAAGCACCAGAGAGACTGGAGAAAGGTCAAAAGTGGAAAGAGATGGGCAGTCAGCATGGCAAATCTGAATCCAAACCATCATCACTCTAATGGAGAGCATTTTAAACAACAAATACGCTGGGATTTGACCTCACCACTTCCTTATGAGACTATTTAGTGGCTCAAAAATACAAAGGAAACCATATTATTTCCTACTCAAATGATTCATAATTTTATGTCTATGCAACATTTAAAAGCTAATGCAATGGAAGAAGTTCCTACAGGGCACATTATATACGTGAAGTCAAAGCAGTACAACACAATGAATTGTGAAACATGTTATTCCCTCCAAGTGTTAAGCATTTTTTTCCCGGTTGGCTCCTACCAGGAAAGGTGAAGTGGAACAGCTGGAGTATAATGAAACCAGCATGTGCCTAGTTTGTTTTGAGTCTAGCAACAAAATCCTCTAACCTGTGCAAGAAACTTACAGTGCCACCTGGATTTGATTTTACATTATAGTTCGTTCCTTGAAACCTATTATCTCTGGGCACCATACCAAGAATGCTTTCGCTTCTGAGCATCCTTTAGATTGCAAGCATTATCTTTCCTCTGCTGCAACTTTGACATTTCTGAGTGTTCTGTTTTAGGAAAAAAACCCAAACAAACACCAAAACCAAAATAAATCAAAGAACGTTAAACTTTATGGATGATGATAACTACAGAAGGGATTCAAAGGAACCCTCTTACATATCACCAAAATCCATTGGGATAGTGGTGACTACAGTGTAACAGATGTAACTGCTTGGCAATGGCTAAGGACCAATTTTTTCATTTTTTCAGGCATTCTGAACCACTGGAATAACATGAATAGTTAGGTTAGAGAGACAACAAAGTGAATGAGAATTATTTTCTAAACTCTACCTGATCCCCAGCCATGACGTGAAGACCCATCTTGTCTTACAAACCAACGCTTAAAATGTATCACAGTATCCCGTGAGATGTTACACTCCATCTTCATTTAAATATTTGTCAAACTATCACATACAAAAGAAATCAGGATCTGGTCACACAGTTAAGCAGCATCAGCAAAAAAAAGATGAAAATCCAGCAAATGGGTTGTTTGTTATAGAATGTCCAGCCAAAAGTAGCTATAACCCCACCTTCTTGTATTACTCTGCATCCACCTATCCACATAATTGATGGGCTCCTCCCCTCTCTGCGTTCTCCGCCAGAATTTATCTCAGTGTTAATTTCTGTGTCTAACTCAGAATTTGACCCATGGTCTATGAATTTCTGGTTAAATACAGAGAAATGGGACAAACCCAGGCATTTCTATATTACCTATATATAGTGTGGGATGCATGCATAAAAACAGATTTGATAGCAAAGATATACCCATAATTGTGTGTTGTTTCTAAAATGCCTTGAAAATATAACAAGTTACATAAATGCTACGTCTTACCGAGTGCCATATATTTCTGCATGCATATGGAAGGTGGGTTGTGTGGGTAGA